AGTGCTTCATCTTTCCTCATTTCCAACCCTCAGCCCCAGATGTGTGGAGATGGCAGCATATCTTGCTGAGCTCAGAATCAGGCATCCTCCAGAAAGGCTCCTCTCCGCCTTCATGTCCAGCATGACAAAGTCTAACCTCTGACTCCAGGGAAGCAGTACTCAGGGTTGCAAAGCATTCTGAGCGGCTTCCTGTCTCTGGAGGTCTGTACCCAGGCAGAAGAGGCCTCCGCAGGCCTCTGAGGGCCTGTCGTTTCCAGGTTCTCTACCCATCTTGGATTAGGGAGGAAAAGAGAAAGATGATACCCTATTGATTGAGGGCTCGCTTTGTGCCAGGCCTCCTGCTTTATGTGTTATCTTATTTAAACCACACAGAGTCCCGCCAGGTGGGTAAAGTGAGGCTGAGAAAGCTGCAGTAACTTGGCCAAAGTAATACAGCAAACGAGGGGCAGAGCCAGATTCAAAGCCAAGCATAGACTCCTCTCTTTCCAACAGACACTCTTCAGATACTGAGATGTTTTCCCCTCCTGTCTCTCTTCTTTGCTGTCTGATTTGAGGTCACAGCCTGTCTTCATCCCAGGAAGTGAGACAAAATCATTGCTGACAGGACGGATCCAAAAGGCCCAGCCAACTTTAGAAAACACCAGTGGGGCTGCCATCAGCCCTGTTTTACGAGGCTGGTGATATCAGGAATCACTCTGAAGGAAGAAGACAGAAATATCTCTTGTCTTTGCTTTAACCTGCCAAAGTTGACACAGTTTTCAGGGCTGGGTACCAAGTTGTGGGCACCCGCGCAGCCAGAAATCCTCACACACATATGGCACCTGCAGCAGACAGCTGTTTGATGAATCTTCCTGCCGGAGGGAGTTGGGGAGGTGGTGAGGGCACCTGACAAAGAAAGGGGACTCTGCAGCTGCAAGGGTGGGAGTGGGAACAACGTGGGATCCAGGAAGCGGTCCTGACCTCCAGGTGGGCCCAAGGGCACAAAGTCAGAGCAAAATATGCATGAGTGGGAAGGGGCGGGGGTGAAGCCTCATTGGCCATCTCCACTTTCTTGCTTTCTCTTGCACTCTTATTTTTTTTTCCGGCTTCCCAGCTCCGGCACTCATTCTGTATCCCATTCTCAAAGTCTTCCTGTTAGCTGAAGACCCAAAGGAGGGTTGCTGGGAGAATAAATTGTAACCTTGAAGCTGCTGACAGCCATGAGACAGGAAGAGCCTGCCTACCGCGGCATCAGCTCAGGGCAGGAACAGTGACAATGTCGCTTGAACCTTTCAATTCTGCCATGCCTGAATCCCCTGTGCTTTTTAAATTAGGGACCAAAAACTTTGCATTTTGGCTTAAGAAATTTTCAACTGGGCTTCTGCCACTTAAAATAAAAACACCACAAATAAAATCCTAACTGAAACAGCATCAGCTTGTCTAGTATAATTTTCAAGGACAGATTCTTTACAGCAGCCAAGGAAAGATGCTGAGAGCTTTAGGACAAAGCCACCGGACAGGGTAAACTCAGAATCTGGAGACACCAGGTGTGCACCAAGTTGGCTAGCCCCTGCCTCAGGAGGCCTTGGCTCCAAGGGGCAGGCGTTGGGGGAGTGTGTGTAAAAGATTCTCAGGTTTAAATCACATTGCCTGCAGCTCTGTAGGGAGGCTTGGAGGAGGCATCGGCAAGGGCCTATTCTGAGGCTCAGCAACCTACAGGATTTCCTGAAGCTGTCCCAAGTAATGATGCAGAGCCCTTCCTATGTACCATGATGTGCTATCCCCACAGCAGCCCTGAGAGGTAGGTATGTTACTGGCATAATTTTTTAGATGAGGAATGGAAATTCACGGGGATGAAGTAACTTACTAATCACATAGATGGTAAGTGACAGAAACCTAGTATATTGGACTCCGAAATCTGTGGTTTTAACAACAACATATTTCTTGCGAGATGGGTCAATGGGGGTAGGGGAGCTTGGCTATATGGAGAATAATGATCTTTTCTGTTGGTACAGCCCTCCAGAGTTTACAAAGCCCAATTTTATATGCAATCTCGCTGCACCCATTTTACAGATGTGGAAACCAAGGCTTAGAGGTAGGAAGGGATTCACTCACAGTCATTTGGGCAAACTGGATAAACTACCCAGAAGTGATGCTCCTCATATGGGAGTGGCCAGTGTGCAGTCTGCAGAAATCCATAGTGTGTTTGTGCAGGGGGTGGGGTCGGCCTCACGACACTGGCTTAAGGGTCAGTCTGGCTAAGGACGATCTCTGACAGATGAGGGGACCAACAGGTGTGTGGCCACAGATCCGATTGCAGGACACAGATCCCAAGACAGCAAAGAGCTCTGCACTCACAAAAAGATTCCCAGCTCCAGCCAAGGCCCTATTTATTTTTCAGCGACAATTGATATGGACAAATTCCAGTTCAACCAGAGAGACTGAGCTCCCTGGTGTTCCCAGGGAGGCAGGGGGTGGGGCACTCCAGCAATGAAAGCAGCCCCTTTCTTCCATTGGGCCATCTTCAGCAAAAAGGGCTGCAAGACTGAGCTGAGCTGCCTGAGGAGTAGGGAGTTGGAATCTGCCTGCCTGGCTTCCTCCCAGAGGAGAGTAGCTGTCCCAGCCTGAGCCCCAGGGGCCTTCACTATTGGGCCTGTCCTGATGCTTTGCAGAGCTCAGTGGCACCTGTCCTAGAGAGACAAGGCAAGGCTGTCTTTCACTGTTCCCTGGGTGACTCTCGTTTGGAGGAGTGACCAGGCAGGGATCCAGGTGACAGGATAGAAGGGGCCAGAGCAGTCACTGTTGTTCACTGCTGGGAGTGTGCCAGGGGGCTGGAAGGTAAGCTGCGATCCCACCCCCCTCCTCACCTTCCCCTCCAGGAGATACTGCTCTCTGTGCAGTTTTTTGGGGGGCGGGGTGGAGGGGGGCAATCCTTGAAGCCTGGTGAGCAGCCTTCTGGATTTATTTTCCCAAGAGCTATCTGTGAGCTCTGAATCTAGGGCAAGTGTTGAAGGCAGGAAAGGAGGGGGAAAAGCAGGTTCATGAAGTCAAACCAAGCCCTCCCAGGTCTGGAAGGTCCAGCACAGGTTCTGGGGGAGCAGACAGTAGGTCCTAAGTTAAAAGGCCCAACTCTACCACTTGCTTCCCTTGGGTGAGACTGTAACTCTTGACATACTTAGTATTTATTGAGAGCCTCCTACACGCTTGGGCTTTAATAGTAAGAAAAAAATAAAAGAGTTGTCTTCTTGGAACTTCCAATTAGTGACGGGGATGGAGATAAATATTAATCAAACAACTAATAACAGCCTCCCACTGCCACCACCATACCAAAAAAAAAAAAAAGGGAAATCTCCAGGAGAGATGCATAGTATATGATTTGAGAGGATGCACCCTTTCTGAAAGGTTAGAGAAGACTTTGCTAAAGAAATAATGGAGCTGAGGTCTGGAAAGAATAATGAAGCCAAGGGCTGTCTTAACTGAACAGAGTCAGAGGGGCATTCCATGCAGAGTAACAGGATATACAAAGGTAGAATATTTGGCAAAAGGGAGAATGGATCCTCTAAGGAACTGGGAGAAGGCTCATGAGACTGAAGTACAGAGTGTAGAAGCAGGTGGGAGGGAGCAGACAGTGCAAGAATGTGGGTCTTTGTCTTAAGAGTAATAGGAAGACTTCTGAGGCACTTTAAGCAGGGAGGTGAGATGATTACACTTGCCGTTTGAAAAGATGACTCTGGCAGTAGCAAAGAAAGAATTGGAAGGGAATCAAAATTCAGAAGACCAGTGAAGAGGTCTCAGGTGTTTGCCTGTAAAATGTGGATAATGATAACACTACTTCATAAACTGTTGCCAAGATTCAACGAGCTACTACATTTTAACTATTCCAATACCTGGCACATGGGAAATGGTTTAGTAAATGTCTCTATTGTTACTTTCATTATTACTTTCTACAGAAAGTAGATCTTCCTGCTTCACGGCTATTCCAGTAAAATGGTCTGGGAAAGGGTAGTGGTGGTTCTTGGGATGGAAATGTAGTTTGCACGAGTCACAACGTTGAGGCCAGAACCCAGGATGCCCTAAGGCCCCATCAGAATGGCTTGAGAGTATGATTCACGAAAAAAACAGGGTTCCAATTGCCCCTGGAAACATGTTGGAGAGATGGTAACCCCTAGTGTTGGCTGAGAAAACGTGCTTTTCTGCCAGGTGTTCCAAAGAGCAGGTGTAAGGCTTGCATTCGTGTGCAGTCGCGCGGAGGGACCCTCGCTGCTCCTCAGCCCTAGGCTGACCCGCAGGCTTCCGCCCAGCCCGGTTTCCCGGGCACAGGGTGCCAGGAGGAGGGAGGGTCTCCGGAAGGCCAGCTCCAACCCGCCCGCAGGCGCTGCCCCCTCCCCAGTCACGTGGCTTGGTGGGTGGGAACCGACCTGAAGTTAAAGAAATTCTGAGCGATCCCAACTTCTGAGTGCGCCGCGCGTACTCCCGAGCCCGGGCTGTGGGCGCGGGGGCTTCGGAAGGAGGCGCGGAGGTGGCAATTTGCGAAGCCCAGCGGCAGCGCGGACGGCGGGACTCGGGGCATGGCCCAGCTGTCGGTGATCCCGGGGTCAGCCACTGCGTGGACTGGTGAGCGGGAACTCGGGGGAGGCAGCGGCTAGGGTCTGAGAGGTTGCTCTGGCATTGGGCACCACACCCCGTCCCGGTCTACGGGATGCGGTTACCCACAACGGGAGGGGCAGTGGGGTAAAGCGACTGCGGTGTACACTTGGCGCTTCGGGTCACTGCCGCCTGCTCCACTCTTGGACCGTTCCTACCCCCAGCCAGGGTAACGCCGAGATGCTCTGCAGACGTCGACGCTGGGAGCCGCGCGCCGGCTGGGGGCGCTGTGTCGGCTCCGGGCCTCGGGTCGACCCCACCCCCCGCGCGCGCAGTGGCTGCCCTCTGTGACGTCATGCTCGGCTATAAAGAGCCCGGCGCGCGGGTTCTCAAGGCGCTGGAGGAGCTCGAGGATCAGGGTGGCTGGGGATCCGGGAGCGGGGCGGACGTCGGGCAGCGGGAGCTTCAGCGATGTTTTACTCAGGGCTCCTCACTGAGGGCGGCCGCAAGGAGACGGATATGCGGGAGGCAGCGTCGCTGCGGCAGCAGCGCCGGATGAAGCAAGCTGTGCAGTTCATCCACAAAGACTCGGCCGACCTACTGCCCCTGGACGGCCTCAAGAAGCTCGGCTCGTCCAAGGACACGGTGAGCCTCGCGACCGCGCCCGCCTCGGGATCCCCTCGCGCGGCGGCCTCCCGGGGCCCGCCCATTGCCGCCGCTTGCCGCTTTCACTGAGTCACCGCCCCGGCCCGGCGCTGCCCTCTGTCTCTCTATTTCTATTTCGGATTCCTCTCCATCCATCCCCTTGCTTCAGTGTCTTTCAGGATTCCATCGTAGCCTTTCTAGCTCGCGCCTCTCATCGGCTCTGCCTCCTCTCTCGGAGTCTGTTCTCCAGTAGTAAAGACCCTGCCCCGCCTTCTTGCCCCTAAGTCGCCTTTCCTTCCCATTATTCGCAGTACGGATTTTGATCGCATGGGGCTGGAGCCTCGCAGCCAGGGCAGCGCCACAGGCAGCTTGGCCGGTACTATGACCTCCTCGTGGGTGTGAGGAGAGGACGAAGTGGGAAGCGGGGCGGGGGGTTCTTGGCAGTCACCACACCAGAGGACTTCTGTTAAATCAGTCTTCCCCCATGCAAAATTTTCTCTGCTTGAGTTGGATCTTACCTACCTTTGACCTTGCATCCTGAAGTGGGACAGGAAAAGAAGGTTAGAACGTGAAGGTTTCCTGAACTTCAGGCATCTCTTCATCATAATCATCTCTCCTCCTACTCCACCCCTTCGCCCCAAAGAGGGGATAGATGGTGGAAGCCAGGCTGCTCCCTCTCACTGACCAGCTAACGTGTGTGGGGCTGCCGATGGCGCTGGTGCAGGCTTTTTCTAGGACGGCTGTTGTTCGCTGGCATTAAGCAGAATGCCCAGGACTGGAGGTCTGGGTTCAAAGACCATGCTGCCCTCTAGCTATAGAAGGGGGATGGATGGCTAAGGGTCAATAATTTAAAGAACTGTATTTGAGTCTCATCCTTCAGTCGCTGTAGTGACGCTGGGCCAAATTTATGTTTAGCTATGTAGTTTTATCTGGAGTTTTCTTGTAGTTGACTTGTTTTCTTAAATTCCAAGACCATTTTATTCATAGGGGTAATAACTTACGAAACATTAATTAAATGTCTTTTAAATGAAATAGGTATTCTATAATTTTTCCAGTTTTTTTTTTTTAAAGCTTTGGGAATGTTTAATTTGGGGTGGGGTGCATCTCAGTCTGTTTCACTGAAATTGCCATTTCCAGCTCAGGTCAGAGCTTCTGAATCTGTTTAAAAAAAAAACCAAACAACAACAAAAAAACAACCCTGATGATACACATATACCAATATCAGATTTACCCTCTTCCATTGTGATAGTCATTCTTAGTTATTTATGTGTGGGAAGGTCTACCCAGTTATCTTGCTTTATTTTTTCAAAGGTATTTTTCTTGCATAAGTCACTGGATTGCCAGTCTGATTCATGTTCACTCAGAGTGGTGACTGAAATGTATTCCTAGAAAAAAAGATAAGTCTTCTTTCTTCCCTTCTTTCACTTTAAAGCAGTCTAGATTTATTTAGCAAATCAGGTCCACATCTTCTCACATTCAGGTGAAAATAATCCTAGCTCTTGGAAGCCACGGGAACCAATGAAGAAGAAAGTATTAGGAAAATAAGTAAAATGTGGAATATATTTCTTCCCTTCATCCTGGATTTAAGATATAATTGGCATTTGGTTGTTCCGAGCTGTCAAGGAGTTTCCTATCCTTGAGAAAATACCTCTCCATCCTTCTGCCTCGCATTCCTTATACTGCTTCATCCTGTGTAGGAAGAATTCCATCTGCGTGTTTGACTCTGGTCTGTCTCAGTTGCACCACGCAGAAGCTGATTAGCGGTAGACAGTAGGCTGGAAGGAGGAAGCAGCCTCAGAAAGCAGGTTATTGCCATGGATGTGACACACAGCAGTTTACTGTGAGACCCTGAACCATGGTTCACACTTTCTCCGCCTCTACCTGCCATTGCCAGGGAGTATCTCTCTCTCGCTGTTCCCACACCTTTAATGTGCAGATGATTGCACAGAAGAGTTAGAACAGGCCACAGCCAGGCCGACTATGGTCAGGCTAGGAGAGCTGTGAGTACCGGAGAGAGGTGGCATGCTTAGCTCTCCTTGAAGTGATTTTCTGCCTCAACTTAATCTTGGAACAACCTTAGAAGTACTCTGTCACTTCACTTTATGGGTATATCTGGTAATACGGACCGGTGTTGACTCAGTTTTTTTCACACTAACATGAAATGTTGAGGATGCCAAAATTGATTGAAGAGGTATATAGAACAAACTCAATAGAAGGAAGACACGAATAGGGAGGGGAGGGCACCAGGGAAACGGGGAGAAAAGTAAATTAGGTATAATTGACTCGGTCTGTGCCAGTGAGACGATGTGGGTTGTTTTTTTCCTACTAGTGACCTATGTTAGAATGATATTGCTGGGTTTTCCAAATTACCTACCTTTTACCAAGCTGTGTCTGTAACTTTTGCTATTTGATACTAGTCTGCCAACTTTTTTTGGATTGGCAAAGAGCACCCATTGACAGTCAAATGTGGTCTTGTTCTCTTGGCCCCAGGGAAGTGTCTTTGCCCTCTTTCCATTTGTGTGTAGTTGGCTGCTACTAAGTCTGCTATGCAAATTAATTGCATAATTAACTTATTTCTTATGTCTGGCTCTCTTATTTTGTTTATCCTTTCATCTTGTGCTATTTTTTTTCTTGTCTAATGTTAAGAGCCAAAATGAGAAGTATGAGTTATCTTTTATTTGAGTTATTGTTTTTTAAAAGTTGATAAACCTGGAGGAAAATAACTTCATTCTAGGCATTTCTTTCGTTTTAGCTACCAGGTTCATAAATGTTTTTTTCATCGAGGTAAGGACTTTTAATTTTTAAAAGTAGTCTTACCATAGGATAATATGCAGTCTTTCCAATATAATAATATTAGTGATCATCAGGCCAAATCCATAGTTGTCTAGCAATAGAAAGAGTTTTGTTTTTCTCTCTATGATTGATTCTGCTTATAGCCAAATGCTTTGGCAAAAATCACTAGATTTAGGAATGAAGGCCAGGAGAAAGATGGTGGAACACAGCAAAGCCAACTGACCATGAAATGACTAGCCCTGTCCTCTGAGTATCTATCTACCTGATCAGAATCTCTGTCAGTTAGAGCAGCCATGGGTGGTACCCTATAGTTTAGCTATACATCCGTAGTGCTACAGGTTTTGGACCAAATCACTTTGGCATCTTGGAAAAGGAGCATGAAATACCAGTATAACACCAGGGTCTGGTACAAACTGAAGATTTTCAGAGCCATGATTGCAGCCTAATTATAGCAAACATTGTTTGAAAACTTGCTGTGGTCAGGACACTTGCTAGGTCCTAGAACCACAAATAAAAAGACAGCAAAATTTCTCTCAGAGTTTACAGATTAGAGGAAGGACAGAAGAGATTAATTTGTTCTACAAATATTTATTGAACATATACTATGTGTCAGGCAATAATACAGGCATTCAAGATATAATAGTGAACCAAAATAGAGTTCCTGCCCTTACGAAACTTGCATTCTTGTTAGAGGGAAGGCAGAAAATAAAAACAAATAAATATATGACAAGTAGTGATAGGTGCTATGGGGAAAATAAACCAGGGTAAAGGGAATAGGAGATGCAGTGAGTGGCCAGGGTAGGGTAGAGTGGGACCTTGTTATTTAGTAACAGTGGAAATAAACCAGGGTAGGGTGGTCAGGGAAGGTCTCTCTGATTAGGTTGCATTTTAGGAGATACTGAAGGAAATTAGCAAAATATCTTGGCAAAGAATGTTCTAGGCAGAAGGAACAGCAAGTGCAAAGGCCTGAATTATCAGTGTGCTTGATGTGATTGAAGAATTATGAGAAGGTCATTCCGGCCAGAGCAGAATGAGCAAGAGGGAGGATGACAGAAGATAACATTAGAGAGGTAGTGGGAGGTCAGAGTACTTAGGTCACTGTGTAGATATTTGGCTTTTCATCCAATTTGGAAAGCCAGTATAAGACTTTGGGCAGAGGAGTGACAGACATGACTTACTTTGTAAAAATATCACTGAGATCGCTGTGTGGATCAGGCTGTAGAGGGGCAAGAGTGGAAGCCAGGAGGCTGATGAGCTGAAAGATGAAGGCGGCTCGCAGCAGTGTGATGACAGTGCAGCGGGCAAGAAAGGTCAGGTTCTGGATGTATTTTGAAGTGACAAATTGACTTGATTAATTGGATGAAAGATCTGAAAGAAAGAGTAGTCATGAATGACCTCAAGGTTTTTGATCTAACCATTGGAAGAATCAAATTGTCATTTACTGAAATGGGTAAGACTACAGGAGGAGCGGGTTAGGGATAGAGAATAAGAATTGGGAGGAGGGCAAAGGGGGAAAAATTGGGGCAACAGTAACAGAATAACAATAAGTTTTTTAAAAAGAATCAGGAATTTGATTTTTGAACAAGCTACGTTTGAGGTGTCTATTAGTTATTTAAGTGTAGCTGTAGACAGTTCCCAAGAAGGTAGGTAACACCACCAGGAAGCCTGTGCTGGTTGCCAAGATGTTAGTCATTAAATGCTAGAGGAGTTCGGTGGAAGAAGAGATTACTCTGGCGTGGTGTGACAATAGTGTTGGAGACCAGCATCTGATTATAGCTTCTTCATTCCCTGGTGAGGAAATGGACTCTGAGATGGTTTGGAGAGAAGGCTGCCTCCATAGTATGCCCTATAGAACCTCAGAGTAAGCTGAACTTAATTACAGGTTATCTGTTCCAATTTGCTGCCTGTATGTGCATCCTTTCTAACAAAAATACAGCCTTCCATGGCAGCTGAGAAACCACCACCTCAGACCAATCCACAGGCAGGTAACAATCAGGAATAAGGCTGTTCTCTTTGAAATAATGTGTCCTTTGGGTCACAAGGCAAAGGCAAAGAGACAGAAGGCCTGGGGCAGTGTGACAGCCTGCCTTACATAGGTCCCCATGTGTTTTTGAGCAACTGCAAGCCTAAGGCCAACCTGTCTATATTCCCACAGGGTAGAATGGGTCACATGTTGTATATTTAGCTAGTAAACAAAGAAGAGGCAT